ATTTATGGATATACAATTCATGCAATGTAGATGTTGTATACAAATAGATGTAAACGAATCTGAATTTCGAGATCAAAAGAAGGGTATTTCAAATTCAAATAAAGTCGAATTCTTTATGCATTGATAAAGTCGATCTTCACTTTTTTGAAAAAAATTGTGAGAAATTACATTACCATTTTAATAACATCTGAAAATCGACCTATTGTCCATAGCCTATGACTTTTTGTGGTACGTCAATCGATTTTAATCCTTCTGACCTTTTTTTTATAATAATAATATTTTTTATTCTTTTTAAGAGTTGTAACTGATGAGGATACATATGGATTGAGAGGTAACGGATATTATTACCATCTTGTTGTCGATTTTACTTCATTCTTTTTAATTTAGTTGCATGTCATTTTAAGTGGACATTTTAATCCCGATTCATTAAAATTATGATGACAATAAAAGCATAATGTTTTAAAAAGCATAAGAAAACAACTTAGGGTCTTTCTGACATTAAAGTGTTGGAAAAGACAGTTATTCATGCATAAATGCCTTCATGTGCGGCTCGCATATTATGCGAACTACCATTCTCTCAAATATTTATAAATTGTCAAATCTAGATCTATCCACCTCTTTAGATGTTATTGAAGAAGCAGTTGCTTATCTGTAGATTTGAAATCAATTTAAGATTATTGACCTTTGAAAATCTTACATTTTAGATTTTGTAGTACCGGAAAACTTGATAAGTTTGGGTTCAACAGATTCAAATGTCAATATTTCTTTAATACAAACGATTTTCGAACTTAAAGAAGATTAACAATGGCACCTTCAATAAAAAAAACTGAACTCCGAAATTGTCGTATCTTTTGATTAGTCATCTACAAACTTTGTAAAGGATAATTTTGATTCTACACACATATTCGCTGAAGATGATATTAAAAAAGATGCTTGAGTTCCTCGGTGACATTTTCTATGTAGTCTTTGAAAACCAGGTCTTTCAATAATTTACTGGAATTCCAGTGGGTCCAAACTGTGACACTTACTAAGCAGATCTGTTTTAGTGTAAAAAGAGGTCTCCTGTTGTGATCTTCAATTCGACATATAGATTTATCAACGATGTTATAAGACAGCATTCATCTTCATACATACTTTGATTTGGTATACTCCAATGAATTTAAAATGAAAGAAACACCAGAGTCTGACACATCTCTTTCATATTCGGATTTTACTTGAGAAAAACATTGAAAGAAAATTCACAATTAAACTTAATGGTAAACGTAATGACTTCAACATCTGTATCTTCAACTTCTATTATTTACGTAGCAATGCACAATCATCGCCTTATAATGTTGCCAAGGTTATTCGATATGCAAGGGCATGTTCTACGTACAAACATTTTTTAACCGAGGAGGCAGACTATTGAAAATCAAGTTGATGATACAAAGATGTCAATATTTCGCAAATTCTATGGTCGACACAATGACCTTGTTTGCAAATGCAATTAATGTCGTTTTATCAAATGTTGACTGACGTTTTTACATTTCAATACAAATTGTTAAGCCATTATTTTCATACTGAATTGTTTACAGATCACCCCGTTCTACCGATCAAGATAAAAGGCTCACAGTGGATGTGACCGGTACAAGGGATGCTACTTCGTTATGGCACCTGATCCAAACTAGGATTTTTTTTTTTCAGAGACCCGTGTTTGCTCTGCATGCTCTCAATTTGTATTTTAAATTGTACGAGCATGTCCAATATTCGTTATCTTCACATTTCGTTGGTAAGAAATCAAACCTTTAGCATGTTAGTTAACATAATATTTACCTGATATATGTACATATGTAAGTCACGTTTAGTTTAAACATTGCCGGTTTACGCTTCTTAAACATATATATATTTAGTTTTGATTTGAACTTTGAAATTAAATCTGACTAATTTGGTCGGTTTAAAAAGTTTTTTTTCAAGAGAATTTTGATTTTTGAAAAGGATTTAATGTTTTCGAATATATATATATATATATATATATATATATATATATATATATATATATATATATATATATATATATATATATATATATATATATATATATATATACCGGACGCAATTCATAGCGCTCCGGATTTCTTTGTTCACAACTGTTTATAAACTCCAAATTAAACATGTAACATTGTAAATATTTAGTGTTTGGTAGTTTAGTAGTAGTGCTAGTTGTTTTTGCTTCTCTATTTCCTTTGTTTTTATGACTTCTTAACTTTTTTCTTTGTCCTGAGGAAGGGACAGGTTGTCCAGAAAATTTGACAATTATTATTGTTCGTGTCGTTGGTCATTTTTAGTGCTTTATATAAATTTCCATCCGTGACCTTGTATCTACTTAGTAGATCCGACACTTAGGACATACAGTGTTGTTGGTTTTTAGTGCTTATATATATATATATATATATATATATATATATATATATATATATATATATATATATATATATATATATATATATATATATATATATATATATATATATATATATGAGAAATCTGTATTGTTCATTTATGTATAAACTCTACTGTGTCACTCTTAAACGGCTTTTAAAGAAACAAAAAATCCACGTACTTGGGTATCGGTTCTTTTATATTTGCAGAAATTGTCATCATCGCTACACACAACTCTCATAAATATTCGACAAGCTTTACGCGAATTTAATTTTCAGTTGATATTTTTCTCATAAATTTTCAATTTGATCAAGGCAAGGACATTTTAGACACGTAAATTTTCAGGGATTTTTCAAAATTCCATGAAGCATGAGCTGATACTTTTCAACCAGACATATTTCCGGAAGATTGTTAGTGTATAATATAGATTTATCAGGTGATATCCCTTTGTACATTCAAAATTTTTTTTATACATAACGCATAACAAAATTTAACATTCCAAATCTTTATTAGTTTCATTTAAATTGACAAACTGTTTTGGATTTATTTCCCATGTCAGTTTAAATTCGTACTTAGTATCATCGAACTTGAAAATGAAACAATCTGTTGCACTTATGATGCAAGAGAAGAAATTCATTTAAAGAACTCGTTAGTAGAAATCTCAAGTCAATATTGAATATTGTAAAACGCAAGGTATGTATGTTCTTGGTGTAAAAGACAACTTGTTAATTATCAAATTCCAAGATTTTGTAATCATGGGGATTCAGCGGGATCTTTACCCTTGAGAACATCAAATCTGGAATTCTACACAATCTCGTTAGTTATAATTCTGCAATTTGAGGACAAGGAATACGGTGTATTATAGTTTTATTAAAAGAAAAATTTTCTAAATTAATTATAAATGCTGGAAACTTCGTGTAAGCATTAACACATCTATATTTTGATGATACAAGAATTTCAAAAAGTTGAAAAAGTGTACAAGACAAGACAAAAAAAAATGTCCACTTATAATGGACTAATTTTGCATGAGTTCCAATCAATTGCATAACTTAACTGTAGAAAATAAGTAGTTTAAGCTAATGGTATTTTTGATTTATCTGATCCTCAGAACAGAACTTTTTTGTTTGATTTTTAAAAAAAAATATTCATCGATTACAATGATAAATTTGCATCACCACAATAAGATACCTTTTAACATTCATTTCTACAATAAGTTAATTTTTTAAAATTTTAATTAAAGTATTGACCTCTTTTTACCTTCCCACGATATGCACAAGTATGGGTTATGTTAACGAAACACTTCCATTTTTACATGATACTGATTCACGTCATTTAGGGAAAAAATCCAGTAAATGACTATTACGAAACTCGGAATATCATCATTATTATCGTAAAAAAAATTACAGTCTTCCGGTATTTTTACCCCGATAATTAGTAAACAATTAAGTGTACTCACGTTAAACTAGTGTTCTATTTTTTTAATCGTTCTGTTGCATGCCTCTTCCCCCTTATAGTTTAATAATTTCTCAAAATTATTTTTAACTGCTTTCTTCTACAAGTTGGCTTAAAGATAGTTTAAAGGCGCCTTAAAGAAGTTTGGCCATTAACGATCTATAAGTTGCAGCTTTAACGGGGCTTAAAGAAACTATTTTCTTTAAGCTTTTTTAAAGTCGCCTTTACTTATAGCCGCCTTTAAGGGAATACCTAAAGATGGATTTTCGTCCAGGGAATTCGAATGACTTTACATGTCTCTTAAAGGTTAATGTTTAGCATAGGTGAAAAAGGGGGTGTCCACATGCCATTGTTGTTTTCATGTTAGAGTTACTTATTATATGTCATAGGGGATTAAAGGGCTGAACACATATCAATATATATTATTAGGGTGGAAAAAAATCTCTGTCTCGAAAAATATCCTTTATTCCCTTTAATGAGAGACTTAATCGTTTTTCTGATTCAATAATCTTTTTATCGACCTGATTTAAAGTTGCAGGTTTTTGCATTACTAGCTGTTAACCAGATAATATGCTAATTCAAATTCTGGTATTTTATCCATTCTACGAGTGTACTAAAAGCTCATTCGTTACAGGTTACGATTTATTTCAAAAAGATCTTTGATAAGGCCAGAACACACCCAAACAAGGAAACGCAATGGGATTTCCCTCAGATAGACTTTGATGTTTTTGTTATACATGGAGATTTTGTTTTGTTTTGATTATCTTTGATTCTGCATAATTCATCCTCACCTTTATGAGTCAACTTTACATTAACTTAATGTATAATTTTAATAATATCTGAATATTGTAGAATTCGGTTTTTCTAAAGAGAACAATTTATCAATTTTCATGTATACTATACTTTATTTATTTGGTTTCTTGAATATAATGGTCTAAACTAAGAAATTGATGGAAATTAAGTCTTTTAAAAAGCTCTATTTAGATTGAGAGAAATAAGAATTTTGTATATCGAGTATTCTTTTTTTTATATATATATCAGAATTAACTTGTATTATATTTATGATTTCAAGTAAAATAGGAATTACTTATATAGGTAATTTTGAATAGAGTAGATAAAACACTACATACCTCTTTTCCTGGTCGTGATATAATATCCATACTTCTTTTTCCGCCAGGTGGACAGTTTCTTATGAAGCAACAACTGCTTACAGTCATTAAAGCGAGGAAAAATAGGCAGAATTGTGTCAGATTAAGTTGAAATGTTTTGCAGTATTCCATCTTTTGCATAAAGTCAGTAAAACCAATGTTCCTGTACGTTAATTGAAGTTGGTCTTCAGGCACGGGTATGCTAAATATTCTAATGGAAATAACCCTTTGTTTCACAAGGTGTTGTTAACTAGATACTAGGTAGCATAGCGTATTGACACTTTTATCCAATTAGACAACGGTAGTGGGTTTGTCGAACGACATTGTGTGGGATACGGAGGAATAACATACTCCCGATGTCACTACGGAACAAATATTGGTCGGGCTCGGGAAACTGACCAATCAAAGACCTGTCGATTTTATCGATGCGGTGATGCAGCAAATGAATTCAGTGATCGTAAAACGTAACACCACATAATAGGATAGACAAGATTTATTTCAAGATAATTTTGTTCTAAAACCAAAAAATTTGACCTATGGAACTCTGTTATTGATGGTTAATAGAATTAAAGTGCAAGTTAATCATTATATTCAAGTGCAGGAACACGAGCGTGGAGGCTCATGACAGATTCTGGTGTATGAAGTTTAGCCGTTGTTTTAAACTTGTGAAATCAGGAAATTAGGTAGTTTTTGATGAAAAGAACGTGCCATTGTTCCTCAAAATATGAACGATTCTGTCCAAACCGGAATGTAGGAGTCACTGATGAATAATGAAACATTTTATTAAATTAAAGTTTAATTAATTGAAAAAATATATTGATGTAATATACAATCATTTTTATTATTTCTTCATAGTCATGAATACGTTGTCTTAATCTGTTTTTACTATCCTACAAGCCTTGTTTTTCATTTCCATTATCTTTTCGATTGATAAATTGTATAAAGCCAGTTGTCAGGACTGTTCCCCAGTAGTGGATGAAAGAAGGCACAACGCAATGTCATATTTTATTCCCTCTTTTAAACTTAAACATACTATTTGGTTTCAATATTCAAATACTCCCAGCTTGGTATGTGCAGGTTTGGTTAATCATTCTTGTTTGGTTGTTTGCTTATTGTTTAACGCCCCTCTCAAGAATTTTTCACTCATATGGAGACGCCACCACTTGTCGGTGGAAGGCTGAATTTATACCTATACTCGGCACTTTGGCTCATTGAGCAGTGAGAGATCTTTTCGTACCAACAATTACTGCGATACGGGACCTCGGTTTGCATGGTCTCATCCGAAGGACTGGTCTCCACGTCCCACGACGTAAGGATTAACTCCTTACTCCGCGACTCTAGAGCAGACGCTTTAACCACTGCACCACGCGGACGACTTAATCATTCTTAAGCCAATGTAAAATATTGTTGATTATTTTTACACTGCCTGGTACGACTATACATATCACGACAGTTCTAGAGTGCGTCAGGTCTTTGTTACAAACAAAATACCAGAGAAGAACCCTATATTTTCTGCGCATTACTTAGCAGAACAAATCCCAAGATACTGGTGATTAGAGGTATCTTTATAATTAAAACAGAAGAAATACAGAGAGCAAAAATGAAAACACCAGGACTTTGAACTTGTCTACTAGTAATAAGGTTCGAAGAATATTCAAAGACGCTGTTTAAAGGAAGGTTAGTTGAAATAGTTATTGAAAAGAAGATCATAATACCTAACAAATAACTTCTTCGGAAATTTCTGCTTTTCTATATGAAATGTGCATTTCATTTTAAATTTTCATTCTTAAGTTTTGTCAATCCCGACTATCATGTTATGTAAAAGTTAGGGATGTCAACGAATAGTCGACTATTCGACTGTCAGTCGAATGGACCGACGATCGAATAATGAAACGGACATTCGAATATTATAATTTTTAAAACAATGCAATAAAAGAGTGATAACGATATGGAATTCTCATTTCAAAATTGAGTCTTTCCTCGGAGACACTTGATAAGATAATTTTCCTCTACAAAAAAACTTGATTTTCCATGTGCGCATAGAAAGTACAGTAATTATATTGAATGCTTCACTACCGCGAGAATTAATTATCTACCAGTTACTGCTTGTGTTGTTTTTGTAATAAATCAACCATCAACATATATCTGGGCTTTGTTTGTAAAAAAAAATTAATTGGACTTGATTTTATGCGATGTACCAATTATCTTTTATTTTAAGATTGCTCAAATGCGAGGAACATGTGACATGTTTTGACGCTTCGATAATTATTAGAACAATTCGCTTGCATTTTAAATTGTTCATAATTAAGGACATTTTGATAGCCAGAACCATCAATAAATGAATAAGCAGTAACTGACTGTTTAACAATTTAACGGCCACCCGGCGTTTGGATAGTGTGAGACCCCCCCCCCCCCCAATTTATTTCACAATAAGCTTTAAAAAATATCGGCTAGCAAATGTTGAATGCTAACTAAAATAAAAACTAACTGCATGTACAGACCAATTTATGAATTTGATTGATGGAGAAATCATGAATTTAGGAATATTAGATTTCTAAATTTATTTCATATAATCTTGCTATCCAACGTTACGCTGCATTAATTTTTATGTTACTTTTTAAACAGATTAAGGGTTTTTGAGTTATAAATACGTCATGTACCAGTGAAGTTTGAAGTAAAATTTTATTTTCACAAAATGTTCCGAATATTCGACTATCGTTCGAATAATGCAATCGAATAATCGACTAAGAAAAATAAATATTTTGACATCCCTAGTAAAAGTATATACGACTAAGACAAAATTTTACTTTTGTAATTCATTTTGAAAGGTTCATTATTTCAGCTGCATTTGAGAAGAACTTTAATTCTACATCTGGAATCAAACTTATACTCTTTCTAAGGATTAATCACAAAAATCTTTACAATAGTACAATAGCCTGACCATCAATGATACATTACAGGGTCGGATAAATGCTCTACAAAGCTCCTTTTTTACTCTTCACAAAATATATTGACTAATGTGAAGGAAAAACTGTTACAACATATTCAAAAAGTGGTGTAAATCAAAGTTTGATTCGCAAAAACTTCTTTGAAAATTTAAAATCATATTTTTTTTCCAAAGTCAGTAAACATTAAAACGTAAATGGAAAAAGGTGAAGATAACGAACAGTGATCGATCGTGAAAAACCTATAAACAATACAAATCTGTGAACAGGGCATAAATCACAGACCCCCGGATATTCCAGAGGTGGGATAGGGTGTCTAGGATCTATCTACTGTTAACCGGTCACACTCGCCGTGAACCCTATCTATTGATCAGGTAGACAGAACATTCCGTAGACAATTTAGTATAAAAACAAAGGCCTAACAATTGGTATGAAACACGTCATCCAAAATACAACCTAATGATAGGCTATATTTGAAAACAAGGTCATTATAACGATTATAAGATTTACGAAATGCTAACTTTAAAAGAGGTTGTTGAAACATGTAACTTGAACTTGTCCGTCAGTAGCCTGCCTCGGTTTAAAAACTGATACTAGTAGTACTCAGAGCATGCTCTTGAGTGTCGAATAAGTTGGGAGACGTAAACACCACATGCAGGTGATAACGAAATTTAAGGTATTCAATGTATAACGACCATATTTTGTACCTAATAAATGAATGGTCCATGGTTTTTGATTATGGTAGCAATACGAAGGTGTTATTAAATAAAAATGCTCCACCAGAGGAATTTGCCAAATTTTGATTATTGTCCAATCAATTGCACCTTGAATTTAACATTGAAGTCTATGGGTAGCGCATGTTTTTTTAAGATATTGTAAATAGTAATTTGAGTTTGAATCAAATCTCTAGGTGAAAATATGCATAAACTCTCTCTTTATTTAACTATGAAATAAAATAAAACATTTTCCGCAGATATTTCGACAAATTAAAATTTTTCTCTTTTTCATCAAGGGCAGATAACTCTTCAGAAACTTTTAAGGAGCAAAATGACCGGCTTCTTACATGTTATCAGTCTTGTGAATTTGGTTCATTTAACTTTTATTGTTATTTAGCATTGCATTTTTAACTAGTTTAAAATCATTCAAAATTGTTCAAAATCCCTTCATTATACATTGAATACCTTAATTACATAAATAAGGAAAGTTATTGATGAAAAGCCCTTGTTAGTTGACCCTTATCGTCTATAAAAAGTTAAACATCCAAATATGAAGCAGATGTACATGTAGCTTGTTCACTAGGATTTATCGAGTCAACATGTGAATGGAAGTAACTATTGTTAATTGATATATCTGGATTTCTAGTTGAAGACCAAAGCAAGTGTTTTCTTCTTCTCATGTAGAAGTTTTTGAATAAATTCTGCTTCATAGGAATATAAAAGCAGGTCGGCTAATAAAACATTTTGTTGGAAGACCTGGTCCCCGAAGACTACATAAATGTTGTCAGTGAGGAACCCTACCATCCTTTTAATATCAACTTCAGAGTACTTGTGTGTGGATTCAGATTGATTTTTAACAAAGTAATTTTGTTGATGACCAATCACAAGATACGATAATTTCTGAGTTCCATTTTTATTGAAGAAGAGGTTGTCTATCAAAGTTGCGATATCAAAAGCATAGTTTTTAATTTATCGTGTGGAATGGTTTATAAAGTAGAAAATTCGCACGTTTTTATCTACCCTACCTAAATCGATTCTCATTAGGTATCTATTTGAATTCGTTCATTTCTTTAATAGCTATTTACCAAAGGAGTATATTTATCTTTTACTCTTATTAATGGTTTTGTCCTTTACTTATTAATTACTTATAATTGTCATTTATTCATTTAGATGTACTCATCGACGATAAGAATTGCTAGTAAAAGTGATGTTAACTAATGTGACAGATGAATTCAATGCGAAACAAAATTCTTTCCAACATCATGTGATACGATGTTTCGTAACAAATCTCATCTTTCTATGTTCATTTATGTTGTCATGAAACACAGTAATCGTGAGGCACCTAGATTAATGTATAAGAATTTGAAATCTTTACAATTATTTACAATTATTTATAGAAAAATGCCTCTGTACGTACTTTTCCCATTCAAATTTAAATTATCGGTTGAATATGTTTAGGGAAATTGAAACCTTAGGTATTGACGTGTATGTAAAAAAAAAGAATCGAGCAGATAAAAACTAAAAGGAAGTTGCCATTCGGAAACAGTTTAGCGTCTAATTTTTTACCCCGAATTCGAACCATTGGATTCGTCAATCTGCAAATATTGATGAGAAAATTTTACCATTTAAAAACAAAATTCAATTGAATTGTATTCTATGTTTTCAATTCCAAAAATTATCAATTCATTGCTTTAG